CTCCTCCTCATCCAAGGTCTCCGTTTCCGTTTCCTCCGCCATACCCTTTCTCCTCCTCCTCCTCCTCCTGCTTCTCCCTCGTCTTCATTATGTCGGCAACCCCGTATCGGGCGTCCCCGTCACCTCATTGAACGACTGGACTACCCCAACGAACTTGATGTCGACGCCCTCAATCGACATTGCCTTGCAGATGGGGAGGGAGGAGGGCAGAGGGAGAAAGGGAGGGAGAGAGATCAGGGTCAGCAGTGTTCCCAATGTATCGCGTTTCCGCTCCAGGGACTGGCCGCGCAAGCATTCGGGGTAGCCCCGCTCACCCGCGGCACTCCGCTTCATGCTGCGGCGGCCGCTAGTGCGAAGAGCGGTCATTCCTCCTCTTTCTCGTCCTCAACCTCCTCCTCCGCCTCTTCGTCCTCCTGATCGTCATCATCATCACCACCATCATCGTCATCATCATCACCATCATCATCATTACCAACGTCATCTTCATCATCAGCATCATCATCATCGTCACCATCATCATCAACAACAGCACAATCATCATCATCAGCAGCAGTAGCATCATCAGCATCATCATCAGAATTCTCATCATAATTATCGTCGTCGTGATCGTCATCACCATCCACCACAACAACAACATCATCATCAACAACAACAACCACCATCATCATCATCATCATCAGCAGCATCATCATCATCAACATCATCACCACCACCACCACCACCTTCATTATCATCACCACCACCACCATCATCGTCACCACCATCATCATCCTCATCCACACCCTCAGCCTCAGACCCATCCTCACCCTCACCCTGAAAATCGCCCGTCATCATCAGAATCGTCATCATCATCAGCATCATCATCAGCATAGTCACCACCGTCATCATCGTCGTCGTCATGATCAGCATCATCGTCATGAGCATCGTCATAATCAGCATCATCATCATCATCATCATTATCAGTATCATCACCACCATCACCGGCAGTCTCGTCGTCATCATCATAATCAGCATCAGCATCAGCATCAGCATCAGCATCAGCATCAGCATCATCATCATCATCATCATCATCATCATCATCATCATCATCATCATCATCATCATCGCCAACATCAGCATCATCACCAGCATCGTCTTCGTCAGTGTCATCATCATCAAAATCAGCATCATCATCGTCATCATCAGCACCATCACCAGCATCGTCTTCGTCATTGCCATCAACATCCACCACGACCATCATCACAAACCACCATCAACATCGTCACCATCATAACCACCACCGTCATCCTCATCGTCATCACACTCATCATCATCATCATCATCATCATCATCATCATCATCATCATCCTTACACTTAGCCTCAGACACATCCTCACCCTCACCCTGACAACCGTTCGTCATCATCATCAGCATCATCGTCATGATCGTCATCATCCTCATCCTCATCATCATCATCATCATCATCATCATCATCCTCGTCGTCATCATCATCGCCAGCATCACCGCCGTCGGCATTATCATCATCAGCATCATAATGATCGTCATCAGCATCATCATCGTCGTCGTCCGCATCATCATCATAATGAGCATCAGCATCGTCAGCATCATCATCATGACCATCGGCATCACCATCGTCATCATCATCATCATCATCATCATCATCATCATCATCATCATCTTCAGAGGCAAAGTCATCATCAGCATCGTCATCATCAGTGTCACCACCATCATACAAAAGCATGGGAAGCATCATCATCATCGTCGCAGTCGTCCTCAACACCATCACCATCACCATCACCACCACCATCACACCACCACCATCACCACCATCACCATCCCAATCACCATCACCATCAGCATCATCACAATTATTATCATCATCATCATCATCCTCATCATCCTCATCATCATCATCATCATCATCACCATCGTCATCGACATTACCAGTATCATCATCGGCAGCAGTATCGTCATCATCGTCGTCGCCGTCGTCGTCGCCAGCATCATCCTCATCATCATCATCAGCAACAGCATCATCAGCGGCATCAGCAGACTCACCATCATCATAATCGACATCGTCATTAGCAGTGCCACCACCATCACAAAATAAGAATCACAAGGATAATAATTGTGGGGGTTTCGCGTATCCCCACCAGCCCGACGCTGTCGTGAGCCGCCTGATCCGCGGCCCTGCGCGCGTTAGGTAATTTAGTCGCGTCCGCGGCCCGTTCGCGACCTTCCGCCGCTGGCGCTTCCGCCTGCGGCTGTAAAAAAACAACAACAACAAAAAAAGTATCCCCACCAGCCCATCCAGAAACGATGCCCCGGGGAGTTGAGGTGATCAGGGAAGCTGGGGAACGTGTAAAAAAATGAAGGGCGGGGAAAGCCGTCGTATACCCCAAGAGGGGGAGGATGGAGGAGGAAGCGTCGTCGGAGGAGGAAGGAGGAGAATGTGGAGTAGGGCGAAGACGAGGAGGACGAGAAGGAGCAGAAGGAGGAG